CAGCCAAAACTGATTTGTTTCACTGAGGTTTGCTCTTTTCATGCTCACCCCCCATCAATGTGGTTATGTTAGTTTTCATTTGTTACCATTTGGATTCCATGTTGCCTGCCTCTCCTCCCACCCAACCCCCCATGCCCCACTCCATTCTTTTTTTTTTTTAACATTTATTTATTTATTTGGCTGCGCCGGGTCTTAGTTGTGGCACTCAGGATCTTTGTTGTGGCGTGTGGGATCTAGTTCCCTGACCAGGGATCGAACCCGGGACCCCTGCATTGGGAGTACGGAGTCTTAACCGCTGGACCACCAGGGAAGTCCCCCCACTCCATTCATTTTTTTTTAAATTTATTTTTGGCTGCATTGGGTCTTCAATGCTGCGCGCAGGCTTTCTCTAGTTGTGGCAAGCCTGGGCTACTCTTCGTTGCAGTGCACAGGCTTCTCCTTGCGGTGGCTTCTCTTGTTGCGGAGCATGGGCTCTGGGCGCGCGGGCTTCAGTAGCGTGGGCTGTAAAGCACAGGCTCAGTAGTTGTAGCGCACAGGCTTAGTGGCTCCGCGGCATGTGGGATCTTCCTGGACCAGGGCTCGAACCCGTGTCCCCTGCACTGGCAGGCGGATTCTTAACCACTGCGCCACCAGGGAAGCGCCCCCACCCCCTACTCCATTCTTGATTAACTTTGTTCTATGGTTCTAAGTGTCAAAGCTATACAAAACGGTATATTCAGAGAAGCATCTTCCCCTCCTCATACCTACTCATTCCCATTCTCCCTTCTTTACACCCCTTTCCCACCCATCCCCCTACTGGTAACCAATCTCTTTAGGTTGTGGTTTATCCTTCTTGAATTTGTTTTGCAGAAATGAGGTACATAAGTATTTTCTTTCATCCACTACTTTCTTACGGTTATCTTGTTTTAAAAAATTTGTATTAATGTGGTATTATTCCATTTTATTATGGTTTTTATTTCCCTTATTACTAATGAGGCTGAACATCTTTTCAGATATTTATTGGCCATTTGGGTTTCTTCTAGGAAATGCCTGCTAAAGTTTTTTTTTTTTTTTTTTGCCCATTTTCTCTTGGATTTGTAGGAGTAATTTATGTATTCTGAATACTAATCCTTTTTAGTAATACTAGTTACAGATTTGGAAGGCTCGTCTTTTTATTTATAATATCTTTGATGAATAGACCTTCTTAAGTTTAGTTTATCTATCATTTGGCCTTTTCTGTTTAAGTAATCCTCTATGAGTTGCCACAGTTATTCTCCTTTATTGTCTTCTAAAATTTTTAGAGTTTTGTCTTTTACATTTAAGTTTTTAATCCACCTGAATTTTTTTTTCTTTTTCTTTTTTTTTTGCATATCAGGTAAGATCCAATATAATTTCTTGGTTCTCCAGTGCTGACTGTTGAAGAGCCCATCCTTTACCACTGATCTACATTGCAAGCTTTATCATAAATCTCCGTTTTATATGCATGTGGGTGTGTTTCCAGGGTTTGCTCCATGCCAAAACCACTGTCTTGTTAATACAGCTGTATAATTCTTAGTCTCTGGTAAGGCAGATCTCTCCCACCTTTTCTGCTTCAGGTCTGTCTTGACTGTTCTTGGTTCTTTGCTCTGCCATATACATTTTTAAACAATTTAAAATTTTAACTATATGTTTATGATATGCTTCTAATTTAAGTCTTCTTTAATGTCATTAATAGCTTCATCATTTTCTCCATAAAGGTCTTATACACCTTTTATAAGACTTATTCGTAGATAATATTTTCTGACGTCATTGTAAAATAGTTTTTTTAAAATACATTTCCTAACTGTTTGCTGTTGGTATATAGAAATACAACTAATTTTTATAAATTGATTTTGAATCCATCAACTTAACTAAATTCTTATTAATTTAATTGATTTATTGATGGATTATTTTATGTTTTCTACCAAGACATATTATTAGTAAATAGTGATAGTTTTGTTTCTTTCTCTCTCTCTTTTTTTCAGTAATTGGTGGTTCCATTTATTTCTAAATATAGTAAGAGCATAAGATATTTTTATTGAGTTGAAATAAAATGCTTGTAATGATGCCATTAACACCTCTTGAAAGAGGCTCTCTGAAGGAAGAGACCATATCCATTTTTGTTTTACATTTACTAAGGAGAAGCTGTGAAGGGAGAGAGGAATTAAAATGGAATATTAAATTATATTCTGTTTACATTTTAATATACACTGCGTAAGACCACCAGCTTCTATGAAAGGATAAATACTGTATCATTAGACTGGTTGTGGAGAGTTTTGTTTCTCACTTTACAGTTATAGGTAAAAAAAGTCAGGATATACAGTTATAAAATGTGAGCTAGGTAGCAGAATATCCATTTTAAAAAAGTAGGAAGGAATGCACAAAAATGTTCACAGTGGCTTATTTTGAGTTAAAGAATCCTGGATGATTTTTTCTTTTTTAATATATCTCTATACTTTCCAGTTTTCCCAAGATGAGTATCTATCACTTTCATAACCAGGAAAGAAACAAAACTTAAAACTAAAAGCAAGTCTAAAACAAAATGTAAAGGTAAGGATCATATACTAAAAATGCCCCGTTAGAAATAAAACAATCAAGTACCTCTGATATGCCTCCCCCCGCACCGAGATATACCACTGCAGAGCCAGCTGGCAGCATAGACTAATATACCATGTTATGTCTAAGAGACTGACCTCTGAGACTCATGGAACTTTGTCTTTCCATTAAGGGCATGTATGGACTTGACCTGTCAAAGGCATACAATTGGTCGGCATTTCATTTGTTTTGAAATGTGATCAACTCAATTATCCATAAGATACATTTTTCCTCTTTGTGAATTATTTATGGTCTTATCATATTAAGAGCCTCCTAACTCTCACTGCCTATTTCCTAAGGATAAACTTAGGAAATATAGACTAATTTTCAACTGGTTCTACTCTCCCTATTTTACAAATAAGGAAACAGAAACCACCAGAGATTAAGTAGGTCCTCTTTCTGTGCCTCTGCTCACCTCCTCTACACCAGAGGATTTTGTCTCTCATCATGACACTTGTCAAAAATATCCATCTTCTCCATCATAAGCTCCATGAGATTAAGATCTTTGTTTGTCCTGCCCTCCTGTGTATCCCCAGGCTGAGCACAATACCTGACATAGTACCTGATATATAATGGATGTTCGGTAAATCTCTATCGAATGTTGAATAAATTTTATAAGCAATCCACGTTCCCAAAAAATCAGACTACTTGCCAAATTAAATGTTTGATTAATTGCTTTTGGAAATATTCACAATATCATTTGACTACACGTGGGTGGAAATTGAAAACAATCTCTGAGTAAAGCCTCCTGATGAAAAAAGTTTGAAAGCAAAATTACCTTTCTGTTTACCTTTTCTGGTATGATGAATTTTTTCATACGGTAAAACATTTTTCCTATTTTCTTTTTTTTTTTTTTTTTTGCGGTACGCGGGCCTCTCACTGTTGTGGCCTCTCCCGTTGCGGAGCACAGGCTCCGGAAGCGCAGGCTCAGCAGCCATGGCTCACGGGCCCAGCCGCTCCGCGGCATGTGGGATCTTCCCGGACCGGGGCACGAACCCGTGTCCCCTGCATCGGCAGGCGGACTCTCAACCACTGCGCCACCAGGGAAGCCCTCCTTTTTTCTTTTATACCATTTAGAGCTATTAATATTACTGCATCTAGATGCTAATTGCATATAGCTGTTAATTAGTCTGGTTTTATATGAAAAGAAAAACTAGACAAACAAAACTAAGTCAACATAATTCATAAAAGTCTCTTCACTTAACTTGTTTATCTTTTTTAATTTAAATTTTTTTCCACACAGCTGGAACTGGTAGATGTGGCTGATATTGGATATTAAATAGATATCCTTGGAGGACCATATCTAACCACCAAATGTGACATATCTAACCCTAATCAGTCTTCTGGTTCCTTCTGCCTGGAGGGTCGTGGGCTTGAGTGACAAGGCTCTCCTCTCAGAGGGCTGAGTGTCTTGGGCAGGGGAGTGTTGTGCACCCTTGTTTGGGGGCAGTGGTTTTTTTCCAGCTTTATTGAGCTATAATTAACATATTGTCTAAGTTTAAGGTATACAGTGTGATGTTTTCATGCATGTATGTATTGTGAAATGTTCACCACAATAAGGTTAGTTAACACACACTTCACCTCACATAATTGCCACTTTGTCTCTTCATTTTAAAGGAGGATTTGGTGTTTTAATTATCCAACAACAGCTTCATGTGCCTAGAACTATTTTAAATGTTTGTATGTAGAAATAATTTTACTATAGACAGAGATAATGATACAGTACAAGTTTTACAGTTTCTAACATTTTGACAATATAATTATCTTGAGTAATTCAGTTCATTCTATTAATTTGGTACATAATCCAATAATCGTTGAGGGCATCCCATACTCTAGGTACTGTGCAACATTGTCACTATATAAAATGAGTACAAAACTACCTAAAAAAGCTCACGATCTAGCGATGTATCTTTGGATATCAGATTTTATTTTCCTTTTTTCTTATATGTGTTTTGTCGCTAAATTTGGGCTAAGGAAGATTTACACGATTATATCAATTTGGCCAAGAGCTCTAGTCCAAAGCTTCATTTTTTCCAAGTGGCCTATAGTAGCTGTTAGCAGATAAATAGAATTTAACTAGACATAATTAAATTCATATATAAATATAAGTTTATATTTCACATATAAATAGAATTTAATTAGACAGAGGTCTCGTACATTCAAGCTTCTACTTAACGTATCAGGTCAGTCCCTGTTGTCATTTGTATGAAGTATGGGAGGTGGGGTGTGGTATTCTAAAGAAAAGGAAACCTGATATTTCCTCTTCAAAACTGTTGTGGGGAATATGGAAGAGGAAAACTATCTGCTCTGTAAATCTCTGTATATGGTTAGCACCCAGTATATTAGTACTGAACTTAATCTCATAGACATGTGTGTAAAAAAGATAAACTCTTTTTTCTTCTTGGCAGGTGTCCTTGTAGACTTGGGTCTGGAGGAAAATGGGACAGCCTATCAGAGAGCAGAGAAATATGTTGTTCGTCTAGACAATGAGATTCAAACCAAGTTTGAAGTTTTTATGAGAAGGGTGAAACAGAACCCGTACACACTGTTTGTGCTAGTTCATGACAACTCCCATGTGGAACTAACGAGGTGATTGCTTCAGAGTGAGCAAATACAATATTTCTTCTACAGCAGTAATGGTCATGTACTAAATAATTTAAAAGGTGGTGATTTGAAAGACCATGGACCCTACCAGTTGGCATCTTCTCATGGTTAACGTATTCCCACCCTTTCCTTGCTTTCTCAACTTTTCTTACCACTTTAATGTTGATTTTATTTTAACTATACTGTGGGCGGATTTACAAATTCCTGTTAAAATCCGGTCTTAAGAGCATTGTGGGACTCAGCTGCTTCAGCGAAAGGGTGGCGACAAGGGGGTTGCGGTGAGTGAGCTCCCAGAAGGGCCATGTGCTTTCCTGCCCACCCCCTCTCCTCCTCGTGGTTCTTCTCGTTTTCTCCTTTTCCTTGTCCTCTCTTCCTTCCTTTCCTGCCATTTCTCCTCTTCCTTGCCTTTCTCTCTTCCCTCTTCCCTTTAGCAGCAGAGGAGATGCCACTTCAATGATCTGAGAGCAGATCCAAAACCTTCCTCAATCTACCTGTTTAAACAAGAGACCATCTTATCTCTTTATGGGCTTATTAATGAAATAACAGTTTGTGTAGTGTGACGGAGTCAGATCAAATCACAGTACTTATCTAGTAGGGGGTATCTTTGTTCCTATGGATTGAAAAAAGCAAGTAGTTGTTTTTTGTTGTTGTTTTTTTTTTAAGGGCAAATAGTTGTCAAATGTTACATATCATGGTTTGTCCTTACCACGTCAGGGGAGGGAAATTTCAGGCATCATCAAACATTCATAGATTTTCTTTCCTCAGGACACACTGAGGCTAGGCATCTGGAATTTTTTTGATCTGTGGTAGAAATGTCAGAATTGCAAAAACACTTGTTCAGAAGCCAGAATGTGTTTGGTACTCCGTAATCTGAAGTCCAGAGCCATATGTAGGTGTAAAGAAGACCTGGTATAACTTGTTAGATTTGCAAGGAAGGAAGGAAAGGAGAGAGGGAGGAAGGAAAGATAAAGAAAAGAAATTTTGCCCACACCTTGTTCAGTTACTGCTCATGTTCTGTGAGCAGAAATAGCTCACTGACCTTGTATACCTCATCTTTGAAAGTTTGGGGTAATAGCTCTGAGGATTACACATTGGATCTCTCTGTATTTAATCCTCATGGGCCTTGAGATTACTTTTTTGAATATACATATATATATGCATATATATATATAGATAGAGAGAGAGAGAGAGAGAGAGGGAGAGAGAGGGAGAGAGGGAGAGGGGTGGGGTGGGGATACCTCCACATTGAACGGAACTGAAAATGACTCAGAGATATGAAAATGTTGGTCATGGGGAGGAGGCCGGAGGAGTCCTCCCCACGGTCTAGCAGCTTCAAGTGAGGAAGGAGAGTGTGTTACACAGAGGGGATTCCTTGTAGCTTTGGGGCCTCTCTGGGGGTACAGACCATTGCACAGTTATAAGCATCATATTTTGATGGAGAGCTCCCTCATTCAGGTGGGCTTTCAAACTGAAGTGACCCACCTCAGCTACGGAGCTGGATATCCTTGGCTTGGATAACTGAGTTTACACTTTGAGGTATATCAGCGACAAACTGAAAAAGGAAAAAAAAAAAAATCCCTGAAATTTGTCTGAAAGGGGTAAGAAGGTGGGTCCTCTTTGCCTTCCAAATCTAATGTTGGTTGCTTCTGTTCCTGCCCCCAATTAATAGGAACCAGAAAAATAAGAGCTAAAACACCACCTCCATTTTGATATCTGATTCTGCATCTAATCAGTTAAATTAGGAGGTTTTAATGTGACTTTCAATATTTCTACAGTGTCATTTCGGGCTCTTTGTCACATGGTGAACCTGGCCATGGATTGGCTGACAGAGTCATTAACTGCAGAGAGGTTCTGGAAGCTTTCAACCTCCTTGTGCTCCAGGTCACCTCCTGCCCATACACTCTGCAGACCCAACAGTCCCGAATCAGCGCCAACAACGAGGTTCACTGGATACAGCTGGACAGCACAGTGAGTCTCTGTTCTACCCTCTGATACACAGTCATGTTCTCAGTTCCCCTGGGGAGCAGAATCTTGTAATAAAATATGGTCACGGCAAAAGAGTTCAAAAAACTAACTAACATAATGCTTTCTCTTCTAAAAGTTCCATATAATTACAATTATTATTCACTAAAAACTAGTGAATAGTGTCCTCTATAAATTTGATTCGGTGGTTCTTTTTTTGGGCTATCATGCAGATACAAAATTGTCTATCCAGTATAGTTTGTCCCCCTAAAATGTGATGTCAGCTGACACCATCCTCAATATCCTGGATTAGCTTTGTGCCTTTAAATGATTCATTCCAATCTAAAACTTGGAAATTTTATTGTCCTCTTGTTTCAGTCTTACTGATCTAGATGTATATCTATATGTTAATTAGTCTCATGCTTCCCAGCAACTGAATTTTTCCTTTTAATCAATTCTTACAGACTTCTAGTTGAAACAGAAGATGCTGGTGCTGTTACTCTAAATTACTCAGGGGACTTCCCTGGCAGTCCAGTGGTTAAGTCTCCGTGCTTCCAGCGCAGGGCACACGAGTTTGATCCCTGGTCAGGGAACTAAGATCCCACATGCTGCGCAGTGTGGCCAAAAAGGGAAAAAAAAAAAAAGACTTTAAACAGCAATTCCCTGGTGGTCCAGTGGTTAGGACTCCACAGACAAAACAACACACTCTAAATTACTCAGTAGTATCATTTAATGCGTTGAGAATAGCTCAGCACTGTACACATCCAGGTCCAGTCCCTAATACTTAAAAGATATTTTCTGTGACCTATAAACTGTAAGCTAAATATATTAGCAAATAAAAAAATGAGTTTTATTAAAAAACAATAAAGATCAGCCGGTAAGCAATAGAACCTTTGTTTAGAAATATTGAACTGTGAGATATTTTAAAATAAACATGTTTAAGTAAAAGAGGCCAGAAATGTCCTACATAAGAATAACTTTATTTTTCAACCCAATGCATTTCACTCTGTTATGAAGTAGGTAAGAAGACTTGGAGCCCTTCTCTTTGAGTATTGGTGTGTCCTTTACAATCAAGCAAGCTCAGGTCCCTGACTCACGTTGGCATCACCAGTCCCTCCCTTGTGAGAACTGTCTCAGTGTGTTGACTGTCACAAGGAGGTTGCTTTGAGCTTTCACTTTGCTGGTATCTTCTCCACCCTAGCTCTGTCCATGAATTGGGTGGGCAAGTTATGGGTGAGATAAGAGGCTGCCAGAGTTCCTTTGCCTCTGAACCAAAACCGTATGGTGTGCCTAGGGTCTACCCCAGTAGTTGTCCTGACATGGAATGGGATAGCCAGTAGAACTGATAAAAGGAAACAGTGTTTTTAATCCAACAGATAGGGCTCCAACTAAACGTTAAGTTGAATATATTGTTAGGGGGGCAAAAGGAGAACTATCCTATTCTGAACAGTTGGTTCAGTCTTTTTCTGGAAGGGATCACTCCAGTGATAGGAGGATGGGCTCATAGCTTCTGCCCTTTGTCTTCTCCTGATGTGAAATAATAGAGAAACAAGCTTAAAATAATTTTCCTTAAAAGTCATTCCTATGATTGTGGTTAATTTTTTTAAGTATAATGATGGTATTGTGGTTATATTTTTTAAAGGATTCCAATCTTAGAGGTATCTAGTGAAGTATTTGTGGATTAGAGATATGATACCCAGGATCATATTCAAAATAATTGAGGGGTGGGGAGTTATTATATTCTAATTAAAGTTTTTAAAAAATCATCCCTATGACATTGAGAGGAGCATGGAGAAAAGGTAAAAACATTGAATCTAATTTACAACAACTTTACACATTTAGGGGCGAAGCTCTAGTGATTAGCTTCCTTCAGTTATCCTGAAGCCAATGTCCTAAAGAAGGAATAATGGAGAAAAGCAAAGAAAGTAGACTCAGAAAATATTAGTGAGCATTTGTGGGCTTGTGTTAGATCTTTCCAAGAACACACAGAGAGCTGATGGTTTAAGGAGAAAGCAAAGTACGTATAAAAGCCACTATTATTCCAAAGTAGAATAAGACATAGATAGAGAAAACAGATTGGTGGTTTTCAGAGGCGGGGGCTGGAGGGTAGACAAAATGGGTGAAGGTGGTCAAAAGGTATAGACTTCCAGTTATAAAATAGATAATTCCTGGGGAAATAATGTACAGCAAAGTGACTATAGTTAATAATACTGTGGTATATTTGAAAGTTGCTAAGAGAGTAGATCTTAAAATTTCTCACCATGAGAAAACAAGAATTATGACCGTGTGTGGTGAGGGATGGATGTTAACTAAACTTATTGTGGTGATCATTTCACAACATATGCAGATGGCAAATCATTACACCTGAAACTAATATAATTTTATGTCAATTATATCTCAATTTTTTTAAAAAAGAAAAAAATCAAGTTGTACACCTTAAATATATACAATTTGTCAAAACAAAACAAAAAATGTAACAAAATAAAAACAAAGTAGAGTAAGACAATTGCAGAAAACCAAAGTGCTCTGTGGGTTGCAAGGAGGGAGAAGTCCCACCCATTTGAGAGCATCAGGAATGGCAACATAGAGGACAGAGCACTTGGGATGGGCCTTGGAGGAGAGGAAGGACAGAGCAGACAGGGGAGCAGGCACTCCTGGCAGCAGACAGCTCGGGCAGGACCACAGAGGAGTAAGCATCAGACATTTTTCAGAGAATACTTAGTGGGATGAAAAGAAACCTGGAAATATACATATGGAATCTTTGAGACCAGGCTGGAAAAGCTTACACTTATTACACAGGCATGAACGATATTTTAGCAAGGGCATAGTATTATTAGAAATAACATTGAGACACAGATGGAGAGAACAAAGGTATGGACACCAAGAGGGGAAAGTGGCGGGGGGGGTGGGTGATGAATTGGGAGATTGGGATTGACATGTATACACTAATATGTGTAAAATGGATAACTAATAAGAACCGGCTGTATAAAAAAATAAATAAAATTAAATTAAAAAAGAAAAAAAAAGAAATAGCAGAATATACATATTTCTTTTATTTTTTATATTCACAATGTTAATGTACAGCTTGATGCATTTTCACAAACTGAGTACACCCATGGGACCAGCACCCAGATGAAGAACTAGAACGCTAGCACCACTCCAGAAGCCAGGCACTCTCTCACAAGAGGGAAGCACTCTTCTGTCTTGGTTTGCCCCATTTTGAACGTTATATAAATGGAATCATGCAGTAGGCACTCTCTTATATCTGGCTTCTGTGCTCAACATTGTTTGTGAGATTCTTCTATATTTTGCATGAGTCATAAAACATTCATTCTTTTTGCTGTATATAGATTACGCTGGGTGACTCACCACAATTCATTTATTCATCCTATTCACTTATTTCAAATAGTGCTGCTTTAAGCATTTGAGTAGACATATGTATGCATTTTTGTTGGGTATGCATTTGGGAGTGAAATTGCTGAGTTCTGAGTTCAGCTTTAGTAGCTACTAAGAGGTTGCATTTTAAGGCAAGTTATCAACTATAGAGGCCAAGTCAAAGTGATTAGAAAGGGGGAGATGTGTCATCTGGCTTTTCAGGTTAGAATGAACAAGAACCTAAATCAGAATAGTGGTCCTGGAAATACAAAGGATGGAAGAAATGGTAAATCTTCTAGGATTTATTTATTGGGGAAGAGGGAAGGGTCAGAGATATCTTTGAGGCGATGCCTTTAGTTGGAAAAGAGAAGTCAAGAGGAAGGTGGACCTCTGGAGGGCAGATGAGACGGATGTGGGCTGAGTGAAGACTGGGACGAGTGCACAGTCGCAAATGCAATGTGGGAGTTGTGATGAGGGCTTTACAATGAGGATTTGGAATAGACTTCAGAAATGCTAATCACTGAAGCAGCTGGTGTAGATAAAATCATGGAAGAAAGTAATGAAGAGAACGGCTGAGAGGGCAGTGAGGCCAAGGACTGAGGGTTTGGCCTCAGGAATCCTTGGTGACCTTCCAGGGAACAGTGTCCACAGAGCAGAGCATTTGGCTGGAGGAAAAGCAGAGACCGTAGTGAAAGGACAGGGAGGGCTGCATCTGGGGGTCACTGAGAGGGTAGGACTTTGGGAGGGGAGATATTTTTCTTAAGAGAAGGGACATTATCCCCAAAGATACAAGGATTCAATAAATTGTATCACTTATGATTTGTGATACTTGGGGACGTGTGTTTCTTTAGAGGAACATCATTCTGAGTTTGATAACTTGTATTTTAAAAGTCCCATTAACTTCTACTTACAAGTCTGCACTTACAAGTTTAATGCAAACACAACAGAAAGGGGGAACTATTCACTTCTTATTTTTAGTAGCTCTAGTTCTTAAAACCATACTGGCTCCAGCTGGTGATAAGCCATCTATTTAACAAGCTGCCCTCTCATTTTGCTAAGAGAAAGAGAAGTAAAAATGAAAACAGGTGGAGGCTTCCTGTTCCGCAGGTTACAATGCTGTCAGGGAAAGGAGCAGGCTTGGAGTCCGATTTTACCTCTTCCCACAGAAACATGATTGTGGATGAGAAGAAATGTGAAAACCACATACATGTAAGATAAAGCTTTTCCCCTTACTCTGTGCCAAGTCGAGATAAAGAGGGAAACTCAGGTGACTGACTTCTTTCATCCTGAAATGACTGATGTGACACAGCTATTCGGAACGCAGCCAAGAATCCAGAAAGAAACAAGCGAACAAGTAAACTATAGTTGTCGCTCCATCTTTGCTGTAAGGCTCTGATGAAGCATATTTACTCTCAAATGAGACCCTGTTCCAATAAGCAGGATAAGCTGGTTTGGCGGGGGGGTGGGGGGTGGGCTCAAAAAATTAAAAGCTGCCAATTATAGTATTTTATTTTTATCTTATGGACCTTATAAATGACACAGTTGCTCATCTCTTTGGATGGGTTACTTAAAAGCTCAGAACCAAATTCGCATTCCACTTCTAACAGAACGGCAGAAACTTCTGGGATGCATTTTTGAGAGTACTAACTTCATCCCTGGCCCAGTCTCCTTGCTCTTACCCTTGCTTTTTCTTCCTCTAATTGCTTAATTTCGTCTTATATATTTTAAGCTGCTGTGTAACCTTTATGAGTTGGAGAGTGTTTAAAGAAAAATGTCAGTACATAATAAATAACACATAAAAGTGAGAATAAAACACACAGGCAACATGACAGCAAGAAGAAATGACTATGAAAAAGTAGTGTACAACAGAGGAAGGAAAACTATTAAAAAAAACCCACCAGATACATGAACTCAAAATGTTTATTGATTATTCTGGAGCTGCTTAGTTTAAGGACAAGCAGTTTGTCACACATGTCAGGCTCCTCTGAGGAAATCTTTGTGTCACATCCCAAAATAGTTATTCATTTTCATAGTGATGAGTGAATCATCAAGAAGGGGCATAGATTAAATACTGTGTATTCTGTTTTAGAAGGAAGAAAACTATATATTTCACCTTTAAAATGAATTTTGTTTGTAAAAGTGCAAGAGAATCACCATCATTAAATAACATCAGAAAAGTTAAAATTTCTGTAATAGAGGCGTTTTTGAGTTTTTTGATCTCCAGCGAGTGCTATAGAACTCATATGTATCAATTTACAGAGCTGCTTCGAGAAGGAAAAAAATCTGACCTTCTGACTCTACAAGCCTAAGAAATGCTCTTCCTCTAAAAAATCTGAACAAAAGATAGAGAAAACAAACCATCGATGTAGTTATAATCTGCCTTAAGAAAGCATAGCAGCATACCACTAATCACATACTAAGTTCATTTGAAGTGAAGGGAAATTTCAGTTGGTGCTTCAGAGATGATTGTAGAGTTGGTATCAGGTTATATAAGGAAACACAGTTTTTGTTCAGCTTTATTGGGGTATAACTGACAGATAAAAGATATTTAAAGTATACATTGTGATGATTTATGTATACGTTTTTAAAGGATGAGGACTCCTATCTAGTTAACTAACACATTCATCACCAAATATATGTATATATACATACACACACGTACAAATATGTAATTTCTTGAGGAACCTCCATACTATTTTTTCCATAGTGGCTGCAGCAATTTACGTTCCCACCAACAGTGCACAAGGGTTCCCTTTTCTCCACATCTACTGACACATCATCTCTCATCTTTTTGATGATAGCCATTCTAACAGGTGTGAGGTGATAGCCCCTTGTGGTTTTGATCTGCATTTCCCTGATAATTAGTGCTCTTGAGCACATTTTCATGTACCTGTTGGCCATCTGTAGGTCTTCTTTAGAAAAATGTCTATTCAGATCCTCTGCCCAGTTTTTAATTGGATTTGGTGGCGGGGGGGCGGGTTGCTATTGAGTTGTATGAGCTCTTTACAGATTTTGGATATTAGCCCTTTATCAGATAAATGATTTGCAAATATCTTCTCCCATTCAGTAGGTTGCCTTTTCATTTTGTTTCCTTTGCTGTGCAGAAGCTTTTTAGCTTGATGTAGTCCTAATTGCTTATTCACAATTTTTTTAACCTTCTAGGCAATAGCCTATTACAGGTCCCTTCTCCCCCGACCCCCAGAAAATAAGACACATTGTATCCTGCCGTCACTGGGTTTTGCTCTGTTTTGAACCAGGAGGACATGAGCTGCAAGGAGAAGCTGTACTTCGGCATGAACGAGTACAGTAAATCTCTTCAGTGGGGAATCACGAGCCCACTTCTGAGATGTGATGAGACTTTTGAAAAGATGGTGAACACACTCTTGGAGAGGTAAATAAGGACTTTCAACCTTTTCTTTAGCTGTACTTGCATGTCTGAAATAGCCAAACGTCTTTTGTGTCAGTGTCACAGGGAATTTTGGTGGAGCCCAGGCTGTGCAAATGACATGTGAAGGCAGAATAAAAATAGCCTTTCCTAAGATGACCTTTCACTCAGATGGGTTTTCTATGATCATCCAAGACCAACAAAGGAAACCAGTGACTCAGAGTGGGAGGTAGAACCACTTTCTGTGTTCTGAATTGTCTCCCAGGCAGGCTTCATTGCTGCACCCAGAGATGACTTGGGCACAGAGGAATTTGCTTATTAAAGACCATTCCTCTGAGGTCTGGCCTTCCCCACACTTTTACGTTTTCCTCTCTTTTCTCCTCTGTCCACCACAGGCAAGTACCCTCAGTAAAAACAAAACTTTACTCTGAGAGATTTGGAGTGTAGACTGAAGAAAATTAAAGAACAAACAGATCATTTAAGTGAGTTCAGTTCTAAGTGGCCCTCCTCCATCCCCGACCTTGGGGTTAAGATTCATGACTCTCTGTCTCCTTTTTCTTCCCCAGTTCCAGGTCAGACTCTGGAAGAGCAAAGGGTTTTTCTGGGTTTTTTTCCTCCCTGATCTTGAATCATAGACTCAAAAATTAGGCAGAGGCATTAGAATTTAACGTAATAGGGAATTCCCTGACAGTCCAATTGTTAGGATTTGGAGCAATCACTGCTGTGGCCTGGGTTCAATCCCTGGTCAGGGAACCAAGATCCTGCAAGCTGTGAGGTGTGGCCAAAAAAAAAAAAAAAAAAAGAGAATTTAGCCTACTAGAGGTCCCTCCCTGCCCTCCACTACAGTATTCTGTTTGATCATCCAGTGATGGGGGCAGTTGGGCACTATTTGATGAGGCACATTCTAATTTTTAGTAGCTCTAGTTCTTAAAACTGGCTCTAATTGATCACAAACCATCTATTTAACAAGCTGCCCTATAACTTTGCTAAGAAAAAAGAAAGAGAAATAAAGATGAGGACAGGGGGTTACATCCTACCCAGCAAGTTATAATGCAGTGTCAGGAAAAGAAGCAGGCTTGAGTAGGATTTTATATTTTTGCAGCTGTTGGATTTGAGAAGACTTAACTGACACTGAGATGTTAATCCTTTCACAGCACATGTGATCTTAGATTTCCAGAATCATCCCATGAGTCTCCCCTTTGTTTCCCACCCTTCTGTTCCGTCTGCCCTCTTGGAACCTATCTTTTCTTCCAGTAACATCACTCGAAGTTTTATAAGTCGTATTTTAATGGATGATCCCATCAACTCCTATACAACTTTCGTAATACTTACAAAACTACAGTTACGGGCTTCCCTGGTGGCGCAGTGGTTGAGAGTCCGCCTGCCAATGCAGGGGACATGGGTTCGTGCCCCGGTCCGGGAAGATCCCACAGGCCGCGGAGCGGCTGGGCCCGTGAGCCATGGCCGCTGAGCCTGCGCATCTGGAGCCTGTGCTCCGCAACGGGAGAGGCCACACCAGTGAGAGGCCGGCGTACCGCAAAAAACCAATAACCAAAAACCAAAAAACTACGGTTACAGTTTAATACAAACAAAACAAACTAGGGAAACTATTCACTTCTAAATTCATAGCTCTTTCAGTGTGAAATTTAAATGCCTGTATGTCAGAGTTACTCTTTGATCTAACTCTGGCTTTCCTACATGGCCCAGCAAAAAGCATTAAGCCTTAAACTTGGATCATCTGTGCCCACTTCCTCTCGCCAAGTCACCCCGGGCTAATAATAGCTATGATTTATTGAACACTTGAAGGGATTGGCCCAGGACTGATTGAACTGAAGGATTTCTTTACTTTTCCCCAATCTACTAAATTCTTACCACGTAAGAAGACATTGTCAGAGACCTGAATAAAATCCACACTCTGTCTCTGACCAGTTGGATGATCTCGGGAAAGGAGCTGAATTTCTCCCAACCCTTAACTCAGCCTCCTTCTATGAGAAGGTGGAGTGGTCAGAACCCAGGGAATCTGTGGTCCTTTCCAGCTCTAAGTACTTCAGAACCACACTAGTCATTTGATGACCCTAACTGGTATTTGCCCCTGGGTTTTTCTGTGTAAGGCTGGTGACGACTGTTTCACTTTAAATAGAATTATAAAGTGGAGCAAAGGTGAAATCCCCCACTGGCCTACCCAGCTGCTGGGCGGCTGCATGTGCTACCAGCTGGCATCCAGAAGGGAAGTTCAGACCCGCCATTGTTTTGCAGGCTCCACGAGAGGCTTGGCCAAGCTCGGGTCCAGGGCCTTGCTTTGCCCATGCCTACTTTCTTGATATCTGCAAGCACCTCTTCATGCCTGCAAGTGGGTCCTCTTTGCCCATTTGTATTCATTCTGTCAGCAGGCTTGGCTTTCTGAGGAATAGCGCATTAATGAGAGGTTTATTTTCTGCCTGCTCTGTAATCGTAAAAACTGCCAGTTTGGCAGTCCAGTGAAGGGTGGAGGGAGGGGAATGTTGAGGTGAGTCAAGGACACCCCCTACTATTTGCTGGGCACCCTCCACCAAGCAGGGGCTCAGGTGGATAGGAGGCCACACCACTAGGGGGTGCTATTTCTCCAGCCAGCTCCAAGTTTTCTCCATCTTTATGGGAAGATATTGTTATTGCTACAAAGGAGCTGACCCCAAATTAGCAATAATAATTACTCTTTTTACTCCTGATACTCCACAGACATTACATTAGTGTCTCAATTTCCTTAACTGTAATCTTAAGTATAAGAGAAATAAGCTAACAAGCATTCTAACCCCAAGCCACCAGCAAGAGGTTAGGATCTAGGGATGATCCATTATGGCTCTGTTGAAAATATGAACAGACCAGTGCTTCTAAAAGTGCAATGTGATTGTATAAAATAGATAACTAATAAGAACCTGTTGTATAGCACAGGGAACTCTACTTCGCCACACAGTGGAAACTAACACAAAACTATACCCCCCCACAAAAAAATGCAATGTAATACAAATCACCTGGGGACCTTGTCCAGCCTGATTCTGATTCAGTACATGTGTGGTGGGAGGATTTGGCGGTTCTAACAAGCTCCCAGGTGGTGCTGCTGTTGGGTGATGCTGCTGGTCCAGAGACCGCACGGGAAGAAGCTCAGGTCACTAGACTGTCCCTAAACCTCGTGAACTTGCTGTACCTATCCCAGCAGGATCTGTGAGCTCACCTTTTCCTTCTAGTGATGGGGGCTTCGAGGTCATTCTAGAGCTCAAGCCCCACTCCTGTCACGAACCCCTTCCCGCCATGCTTAGTCTGCATTCCTACAGCACAGACCTCGCTGTCCCAGTGGGCCCCACACCCAGATGCTAGCTCCCTGTGCTCTGTTGAAGGTACCCCAGGCTGCACAGCATGGTCGTCCGCTGCTACCTCCTCATCCAGCAGTACTCGGAGGCTCTGATGGCTCTCACCACCATGGCGTCCCTCCGAGACCACAGCACGCCGGAAACACTCAGCATCGTGGATGATCTCCTCAGCTGCCCAGGAAAAAACAAAAGTGGGAGGGGACACATGCTCATTCTCAGGGTGCCCTCCGTGCAGCTGGCGATGCTGGCCAAGGAGCGGCTGCAGGAGGTGCGCGACAAGCTGGGGCTGCAGTACCGCTTCGAGATCATCCTCGGGAACCCCGCCTCTGAACTCAGTGTCGCAGCCCACTTTGTGGCGCGATTAAAGGTTAGCAACGGACAGACGTTTGTTCTGTTTTCTAGGACTCCCGTGTAGGTGGCTCAGAGGCCTGAGTTTGATAGAGTTTTGCACATGTGTCGGTGTGATCTTCGTGACCATGTTAAGGCTAAACTAAGGGACGTGTCCACTTTTCTAGTTTAATAAGATTCTGTCCGGCCCCCCTTTTAGCACATGCATGCAGTTGGTCTTCCATGCTCTCCAACTGCAGGTGCAAAAATGCGATGACCCAATTTCACCCCATGTTTATTGACCTTGTTCGAGATGCATCTAGCCCACGGCCATCTGTTTTCTCAGAAAAAAAGGTAAGTTGTTCTCTCGGACCTCCGTGGGGCACGCCTTTAAGTATCATCCGTTCACTGAATCTTTTCTGTCCGTGTAGCCTATCTGTCTGCTCAGAGTGGGTAAAGTATCCTGTTTCATCTTCAGTGCTCATAGAGAACTACTCCCCACCCTCGTGCATGTGGATTCCCCAACAGTTTGCTGTTTCTTTGTATTTGCTTTGGCCTCAAGGCGTGGTCTGGGCTGAGATTCAGCCGAGCCTCCTGCGGAGAGATTTGTGCATGGCTAAGCGCCGCCCATCCTCCACCCCCGCCCCGCCCCCCTGCACGGCCAGGGACGCACTGCTTTTCCTGAACCCCTCCTGTCAGGCATGGCGGGCGGGGGATAATTTCTTAATCAATTAACCTAAATCTCTACCTCATGCCCTGCTCAGACTTTTCTGGGGACTTTTATAATCCAATGTGTCCCAGACATTTGACAGCATTTCATAAAATCCTGCGTACACATAGATATGGTACTAAGCTAGGTACTATGTGTCTGGGGTAGACCGACATGGTTTCTGCACCTTGCACACCAAACACTGAGCTAAACTGGGTGAAGAAAAACCTAGTTTGACATAAATTGTATGAAAAGAAAGCACGTAGTCTTAGGGGATTTGCATTCCCACCTTGGGCTGCAAAATGAGAGTGTTGGACTGCATGATCTCTAAGAGCTCTAATTCGAGGATTATTATTTAGTGTTCATAAAGCATTTTGCAAATGTAAGCCTTTGTATTGTATTCTATTACCTAACAAAATGTCTTGCATTAGCTTGATAGGTAGCTGGAACAAATAAATCTGTCTAAAAATAGAAGCTCCTCTATTTAGTGGAAGTTGTAACATTTACGTTTCACATATGGATATATAGATATAATGCTCACAATATTAATTTAGAGTCATAGACCACATTACAGCAGAATTCCTGGGATAACCAACAAATGAGAGTCCTGAAATTCTTCTTACGGTATAATTCATAGAGGCATAGGTTGTGGGACAATCTGAATAATGCTAATGATGAGGAATCTGCAAAAGCAGATTATCAGCACTGCTCTGTGAAGTCTCACACACCTACTGCAGGGAGATGGTCTAACAGGATGTGAGGCTGCAGGGACTTCTCTGGGTCTCCACTGACCCTGACCAAGTGCAGCTACTTACAGAGTCTTAGGTCATTTGTTCGGACCCTTCAGGAATGCCAATCACTAAGTCGGTATAACTCAGCAGTCCTAAATAATATGCCCCTCTGGGCCATTGTTTGAAAACTGCAGTCAAGACCTGAGCTTCCTAGCCTGGCTGCTAGCACATCAGAATCACCTGCAGGGCTTCCAAAGGGCTGCTGGGAGTGTGCGCCATACACGAAGGGGGTCTCAAGTAATTACTTCTCAAAGCAGTTATATCTCAATTCTCATGAGTCGCTGCCAGGCACCAGCCACACAAAAGAGATTTCCATATGCTCAAAACCTCTCGATCACATCAATCCATCCTTTTTATATTCTCTATTTGTGTGGAAGTGAAAATTCGAAATCCCTTTGGAATGTTCACATCCTAAGAAAGACGACCACTTGCCAGGTGGTCTCTGTTTCACCTGTTTATTTCTTTTTTAAAAATTTTGTTTGTTTATTGGCTTGTATTTCTACCCCCATAGCCTGAAATTTCTATGAGGACTTTTCCTCTCAATATGAATAGCACCCAATGAAGTTTCAGGGCACAAAAGAGGCACATGTAAAAATTTGTTAAATTAATTAACCATTGTAGCATTCTTTGACTCTCATTCACTCTTCTTCTTTTTCACCTGTTTATTTCTAAATTACCAACTTTACCACTGACGAGATAGCAGTGTGCCTTTCATCTCTAACGCTGGGTAAAATCCAGTGCCTCTTTTTCCATTAGATGGTCTTATTTTTGTGCTTACCTCTAATTATCCTTTAGAAATCGTGGTTAACTTATAAGTGATAACAAGTACTTTGGAAGGATACAAGGTTTATATCTAAATAAATCAGTTCATCCAGAAGGCCTGTGAAGCTTTCATTAGGTTTCCTTGGCCTTGAACCCCATATTATCCCTGAAGTCAATGCTCGCCTAGTCTTTTGTGTTGACTTAACTGCCTCTGCAGGAAAATCATCCTGAGGGCATGACAGATCCATAGGAGAATGGCAGCCATCAATCATCAGAAGTAACAATGTGACAGAAAAGCATTTTATAGGGGGTTTAGCTAGCTCTGCTTGGTCAAGAGTAAAAGTGGAATTTGTTTAATCATCTTTTGAAACTAAATCTCCTTATAAAACATAATATCTGTTATCCCATCATTATAACCCAACCTCATTCTTGATAGAACGATGAAATATGTTCGAGGAGACCCCAGTGTCAGGGATATCATAAATCCAATGTGAAGGCTTATGAGTAAAACGATTCCTATTTGCAGAATTATTTGCTTTGAATTAGGTAATGTTCTGGTTCCCTTTGACATGAAAATATATGGAAAACTGAATTGGGGGGGAGAAACTTTCTTGTAATATCTTAAAAAATATTTTGACAGATTAATTTTCTAAGACATAGAAAGTCTCTCAAACTTGTAAACAGTTACGTAGACCCACTGAGTTCTCTGTGGCAAACATATGATAACAGATTGGGCAACAGGATTCAGGTTGGTTCTTCCAATTTTACAAGTTATATGCATTTTACTTGCAGTAATCGTGGGTATATTTAATTCCAAAGACTGGTTTTCCTAGACATCAACAAATCAGTAAACAAACTCTGTTATATCATATCATATCTTGCCTGATATATTTCTTTTTATCCCATTCTGATTTTAGCAAAGGAAGTACCAGTCTATTTTAAAATAAAATTGTATGCATTACTTAATACCTCACTTCTTAGTCCTTGTTCCCAAAAGCATTATCTGAAATGCCAGTTCATTTCTTATAACTCCTGCTAGAAAGCCGATATAAAGCACAGTTAGATCTACACACTTCATAAAAAGTAGTAGAAACCACCTTCTCTACTTAAGAGATGGTTTATTTTCTCTCTGCTCTAAAACAGACAGAAAAGTCTATAAGATCTTTTCACTTTTGAACATCTTTCAAGTTGGGATTTTCTTCCTCTTGATATATTCATGTTTTCAGATTGATGTTTCATTTATTAAAGATATTCGTGTGTGTATATGGGTTTATATATATGAGAAGTTGACTACGTGTGAGGAGTTTTGTTGAGGTTCTTTTATTAGTCATTTACGACTGAAATGGTCTTTTTCAGTCAATCAGTCCGAAGAGTCTGTCCATTATAGGAAGGAAGTGTACTTAAGAGCCTTGAGTCAACTAGTTTAACTAGGATTTCTGTAAGGTTTGCACCATCGGTGGAATATTTCATATTGTATGTTTCTTTGACCTGTGTGGCTAATGTATGATATAAACCAAGATCTCCTGTTTTATCCTACTGCGATAAAACTCTTCTAGAGTGCTTTGTGCATGTCTTTTAGTAGTAATTAAAATATATGTACACACACAAACACACTTACTGGAAGTCATTTGGAACCACAGATGTGTATAAAGCCTGGCTGTAGAAACCTTTAAGAAGGTGGGAACTTAAATGAAGGGTTTTAATTTTATTGTGTGGGTCCCTTTCTACAGACTTGGAGAGGAAATGAAGCAGAAGAGTGGACCCCTCGGACGTACCAAGATCTAGAAGGTCTGCCTTGTATTGTGATATTAACTGGCAAAGATCCCCTTGGAGAAACCTTTCCCAGGTACAATGTGAATTGTTAGTTTTTATTTTCCATTAGTGACCCACCTGAGCTGGTGGTGAAAACTTGGCTGACGGTCACCCATTTCGTTCACTTGGCAAGTGAGAAGAGCATTGTTTTATTCGGGGATATGAGAAACTTAGCCTTCCTTGAGTCTTTCTTTGGACTTTCCAGAGATAGCCCAGCAATCTGGGGAATGGGAGATAGCCACAGATGAGAAGTGTTTATGCATCGAAGCAGGGCAGCCAGAGGGGCAGGGAGGAAAAGCACTGCCCCCAGTGAGGAGCTCTGGGGATGAAGTGTCTGCTAGTCTGCTGTTCCCTCAGGGACCCAGGGCCTGTAGGTTGGAAGGCAACAGCACCAATAATCACAGCCCTCACTGAACGCTTACCGTGTGTCAGGCATCGTGTTAAATGCCTTACCCTTGTCATGCCATTCATTCCTTTCAGTAACTGGGTCAGCTGGACACGGTTACTCTATTTTATATGTGGAGAAAATGAAGTGAGTAGCCCGAGGTCCTAAGCTAGGAGGTGGCAGAGCTGAGGTGCACATCAGGCATTACCTGGCACCGAAGCTCACGATTTTGACTGCTGCGCTGCGCCCAGACACCCAGACACACATAGACATGGCACGCCTCACCAAAGACAGACTCGCCAAAGATATCCTTACTTTCGTGCAGGTCTTTGAAGTACTGTGACCTCCGGTTAATTGATTCAAGCTATTTAACTCGGACGGCCTTGGAGCAGGAGGTGGGTCTGGCGTGCTGCTACGTCTCAAAAGAGGTCATCCGGGGGCCCACTGCTGCCCTGGACCTTAGTGGCAAGGAGCAAGAGAGAGCCGCCGTCGGCGAGAACGGTGCCGAGGAGCTGCTCATGGACCTGGAGAGGCCCCAGAGCAACAGCAGTGCCGTCACTGGAACCTCAGGTCAGTACTTTCTCTTTCGAGGGATCAGAGGCAGGAGGGAGGAGGGGGGTGGGAGTATGGAAGGCAGAGGCATCTGCTGACTCCCATCAAGGCTTTCAGAGCCTTGGGTGACTCAGGCATCCTGTCCAGACCTTGGTTCTCCGGGAGAGATACTTGGAAAACAGGACTCTCGAGCAGCCACAAGATACGTTCCTGGGGAAGCATTCAATGAAGAGCTTGCTACTAAGCTAAATAATACAGAAAATAAATGTCATCAACCCCAGCTGCCACCATTTTCCCTAGTCTCTCTCACCCTAATCATCTCATAGATATTATGCATCTGCTATTTGCACAAAGGCCTTCTTTTCCTTCCAGATCCTGAAGCTGTAAGTTTTTGCTAATTGGCCTAGTATCTGGCACAAAGTATTTGTTTGAATGAATGAATGAATGAGTGACTTTTCTAAGTACTTAATGGCAAAGTGTTTGTATACTGAAGCCTACTCTGGGACCGTGGGTTGGCTGGGACGATCCAGTCTGCAGCCTGCCAGCCACTCTCTTACTGTGTTACTGTGTGGTTGATGGCAGTGCTTGGCATCAGTTTTCTTCTGATAAATAGTATTAAGCAAATACAGCACTATTTCCATTTTTTTTTCTGACTGTGAAAGTTATAATAAAGCTTTATATAGAAAACTTGGAGCATGTAATGAAGTATAGAGAAGAGGTAAAAAATGAAAACTCCACAGCAGAGGGAACCACCATTTGTGTTCCTTCTCCCCCGTGCTTCCCTTCTCTCATCTCCATGACACACACACGCAAACACACACACACACAATTTCATGGCCAAAAGCAGCACCAGTCTTTCTATTCACTGTCAGCTGCTGTCGGATAGGCTCCCTATGAGAACTGAAAGGCAGGTATCTGTGGGGTTTTCTGACTTTCTGTGGTGCCCCTCAGCCTGGAAGAGCATGGGGACTGTCCTTTGGGGTCTGCCCAGCTGCTCCCCTCAGTCAGGGGTCAGGGCTGTACCTCCCCCACCCCATCACTACAGGCTCCCCAGTTCTGCCTCTGCGACCAGGTCAGAATAAAGGGGAGAGGTTGGGAGGAGTGTAAAGGGTAATAGAGGGGAGGGGGACTATCACATCTAGAAGCTTTTGGATACCAGCATCAGTGACCGAGAGGCAAGGAAGGTAGGGGTGGCGATGGTGATGAGTGTTGGACTTCCTTCCTGTGGCTCTTTAATCAGCCCCACAAGCCCCACTATTCTGGCCTTGTTCTGATTAACTCACACAAAGGTAATGATTTGCCTTCTGCTTTTAGAGTTTTCTCCGCTTTCAGGATGCACGTGCTGCACACACACACACACACACACACACACACACACACACCCCGCCGGCCTCGGGGTGACTCTGAGGGTCCTCAGGGGGGCTCACTGCCCAAGGTGTGCAGGCCTGTGGACTCCAGGGCCGATGAACGGAGAGGAAAGCCCTCACACAAAAGTCAGATGAGCAGTGGAGTGCCGGTGTCACGAGCCTCTGGTTACTGGCTATTCATCTAGGATCTCCCAAGGTCGGGATATGACCCCCAGGCCTGGGAAGCACCGGTCTGAGCCAGAGAGGGCCTGCAATCTTGAGTGTAATGAGCTTCTGGTTTGTCCTCAAGCCAAAGAGGGGCTGATGGACTAGAGGGGAAAACACGTTTGAAGTGAATTGGCTGCAGGTGCAGGGATCTCTGGGCACAAGCAGCATCTCGCTGGGAGGAGATAAAGCTCTCCCTTCCCACAGAGCCGCTTCCCACACTGGCCTGGGCGTCCATGGAAGGGGCTGCACGCTGGGGAGGTATCCAGAGCCAGAAGTATGGGGCCCTGGGACCCCCAGAAGGAGGCGAGTGGCACTGGGGCAGGACTTGGATGTCAGCCTGTGTCGGTCAGGGTCCTGGAATGAATCAAAAGGCTTATCCAAACGAGGTAACCTGAGGAGAGTTTAATATGCCAGCAGGATGCAGCAGGAGATGGCGTGGTCGACCCCAAGGCGCCCGGACCACCACACGGCCTGAAGACGCCGGGGAGCGGGTGGGGGGATGGGCAGACATGGGCCCCGGAGGAAGCCGGGGCGTGGCGGGGGGAGTACAGATTTCCTGTGGCGTCTCCACTGGCCGACCCCACGCAGGATTGGGGGAGGGCGGGCAGGACGCTCTGTAGTCCGCGCACCGCCGGGCCCCCCGGCCTCCGGGCCGGTCCCCCTGGCAGGGGCGGCGGTGACAGAGCGGGCGCGCGGCGGGCTGTTGTCCGTCCTCTTTCAGGCTCCATCATGGAGAACGGGGTGAGCTCGTCCAGCACCGCCGACAAGTCCCAGAAGCAGCCCCTGACCCCCAGCTTCCGGAGCCCGGCCAACAGCGTGGGACTGGACGAAGGGGTCTCGGCGGGCCTGGCGGGAGTCGGAGAGACCCTGAAGCAGGAGTGTGACTCCCTGGGCCCCCAGATGGCGAGCAGCACCACCTCCAAGCCGTCGTCGTTCTCATCGGGGCCCGGGGCGCCGCGGTGGCCGGGACAGCCGGGGCCGGGCTTCCGGGGCGCGCACGCCGCGCTGCCCCCGGTCGTGATCCTGTCCAAGGCGGCCTACAGCCTCCTGGGCTCGCGGCGGGGCGGCAAGCTGCCGGCGTCCGCGGCCCTGCTGCCGCACCCCGACGTGGCCTGGGCCAGCCCCCTGCGGCCGCTGCTGCCCGGGCACGCGAGCGCCGAGGAGCAGTCCCTCTACTACCGCCGCTGGACCGCGGCGCGGCCGCACCACGCCGACCACGGCAACCAGGCCGACCCCGCCTCGGGCGCGCGGCCCTGCCATCCCCGCCGCCTGCTGCTGACCGGGCCCCCGCAGGTAGGGAAGGGGGCGGGGGGGCTTGGGGGCTCTGGAGGAAGGGCCAGAGAGGGGGTCTCCTGTTGGGGTCCGGTGGTTGGGGCACGGAGGTCCCCCCACTCCTGCAGGGAGACGCGGAAGAGCTCACGTGTGAAATCTCTTTTCTCTTTTCCACGCCTCCTCCCTAAACCTCTCTTCACCAGGTGGGGAAGACTGGCTCCTACTTGCAGTTCCTGAGGATCCTCTTCCGTATGCTTATCAGGCTCCTGGAGGTGGACGTGTACGACGAGGCAGAGATCAACACCGGTGAGTTCCGAGCCGGCAGCGTGGGTATTAACACCACAGCCGGAGCTTCCCGCGTCCTCCTGGAGGTATACATGCGCCCATGGGCAGGGTTCTCGAGAGGTTAAAGGTCGTGAGCCAGCAAAGAGTTGTAAGCAAGCTGTGGCCGCGTTGAGCTCCCTGAGGTCGGGGTGGGTCTTCCCCTCTTTCGACCCCCGATCCCCTCTGTGTCCTGTGCGACGCTGGGCAAAGAGGCATCTCGTAAAGTCCTGTCAGGTGGGTTCACTGCTCAGATGGTCAAACTGTCCAGGTTTAAAATTCTAGTGCGGTGGTCTGCTGCTTAAGGGTCCAGGGCATGTTTTATACTCTGCATAACCAGGCCTTTGTTGGTTCGTCAGAGTAGACGTTATGTTTTGCCTGCTGGCTCCGAGAGAAGGTGTGTGGGTTGCTACGACGAAAGGAAAACTTGCAGGAGCAGAACAGAACCCTGGTGCTGTAAACAACCCCTTGGCACTGGCAGTAAGATGCAGGGGCTGGTGCTTGACAGACGAGCCTGTGCCTCCTGCCCGGCTTCTTGGCCCTTCCACCCCGGCTGTCACCTGTGAAGGAGGCAGTTCTGCTCTGCAGCCTGTCCAGCAAGGCCAGAAAGGGGGCATGAGCAGGGGTCAGCCAGCATTAGCTCTGCAGCCGGGGGAGTGTGGCTTCAAACTATGGCTTCACATCTCAGAACAGAATGACCGTGTGCTGGAAGAAACAGGGAGGGGTAGGGGCAGGAGAGAGAAGTGGTAGTTCTTCCCCAGCCCCTCAAAGATGAGTCCAGAAAAGGGAAAGGCCTTGTCATCTTCCATCAGATTAGCCCTTGGTGACCTCCCCTCACTTGCTTTTCCTGAATAGTTGGATCTGTTCTGTGACCAGCCCAAGGGACTAGTTTAGTTCAGAACAAGACTAGGTAAAATCAGCCATATTTAATCATTTTACTATGGCTTTTGGCTCTATTTCCATCCTCACCAGTTCACATCCATGATTCCAGACACAGACACAATTCCATCTTCCTATCCACATCTTGTTTCTGTCCCCAGCTGAGCTGTACCAGGCCCCCAGGCCCACCACAGAGGGGATTGAAACACCCTGAGCTGCATGGAGCGGACTGGGCCCCAGGTGCAAGGGCAGAGCCAAGCAGACAGGAATGAGGGCCGTCATCCGCTGACTTTCCCCCAGGCTCCTTGGCACTGCAGGAGAGTGATGCCTTTACTTTTCGCCTCAAATCCTGCTACAGGGCTTACAGCTGTGGGAGTCAAACCTGGCCTTTGTAACGAGAAGCACTGTTAGTTTGGCTTTATTCCTTCACCCACACTTTAGTGCAGGTGAATGCAGTGGTGCTCTGGAGAGGCACAAGGATGCCTTTTTTAAAAACTAGAATAAACGTTAACTTTTAAATAAAATGCATACTTTTAAAATAAAACTTAAAAAAATAACTTTTTAATAAGTTTATTTTTATTTTTGGCTGCATTGGGTCTTTGTTGCGGTATGTGGGCTTCTCATTGCGGTGGCTTCTCTTGTGGAACACGGGCTCTAGGTGCACGGGCTTCAGTAGTTGTGGCACTCGAGCTCAGTAGTTGTGGCACCCAGGCTTAGTTGCTCCACAGGATGTGGGATCTTCCCGGACCAGGGCTTAAACCCGTGTCCCCTGCATTGGCAGGTGGATTCTTAATCACTGTGCCACCAGGGAAGCCCCTAAAAAAATAACTTTTAAATAAAATGCTCAGGGATATAAAAATAAGCAGTATTGTGTTTAAAAGCTAATAGCTGTATTTCTAGTCTTCAGGCCTTTTTTGTTGGAATTTTTTTCTTCGTTTCTTCCTTTGAACGTTGTCTTCAGCTTGATCTTATAGTTTTTAGTATTAATAACAAATATTTATTGGACACCCACCATGTGCCTGCCGCTGTCTTAGCACTTTCAATATGCCATCTGGAATCTTTACAACAATCAGGGGACCCTGAGAGGTGAAGGTGCCTGCAGGTGTGAAGTCACAAGTGGTGGGGCCTGGACTCAAACCCAGGGCCCCAGGCTGTCAACCTGGACTGCATGTCGGAACCACTTAAGGAGCTTTAAACACTACTATTAGGTGCCTGAGTGATGAAGGAGGTTCTGGGCAGTGTGGCCTGAGCACAGGGATTTTACAAGCTCTGGGTGATTCGTAATAAGCAGCAGACACTGAATCTTGCTTGGTGTGTCCCTGAAATCTCTTCAGTATCAACGTCTTAAAACCCCACAACTAAAACTCTAAGACAGAATTCAGATCATCCAAAATTAAATAAGATTTTAAGGCAATTCAGGGGGGGCTGGGGTGGGAGACCAGTTGATCTCCTAGTTGTGGAAGTGTGTGGAGTGGGTGTGCAGAGGCTAATGATGGGGACCAGTGAGGACAAGCATCTCTTCCGGCGGGGGTATGAAGGGACAGTCTGCTTCCCTCTACCCTGGACACGGGAGCTCATTTTTCAGAAAGGCCTTTGTCCACCCACCTGGGCGGACAACATACATACATACAACCTTCCATCCCTGACACTTGAGAGAGAGGGAGGGAGGCCAGTCGGTCTGGTCTGCCTGCTCTGTGCACTTTCTTTCTTCTTGGCCTAGATCACAGCGAAAGCAGTGAAGTGAGCCAGTCAGAGGGAGAGCCCTGGCCTGACATCGAGAGCTTCAGTAAAATGCCCTTTGACGTCAGTGTGCATGACCCCAAGTACAGTTTGATGAGCCTGGTATACACTGAAAAGCTGGCAGGGGTCAAACAAGGTCAGTGCAAGTGGAGGCTAAAGGTCAAGTGTTCACCTAGATGAAGGCAAGAGGCCTGGGGCAGTTTAATCTTTGAGAGTGGCTTCATTCATTCTCCTCTGCTTTTCTCTCGTTTTACACACATACATGTCACCTTTTCATTTTCATAGCTGCCTCTCAGGGCATAAGTTACAGAATCCTGGGAAAAGCCCTTCTGGGGAGTGGGGGACTTTCTTCCCAAGCATAGGGGCTTCAGGCACATCACGGGACGGTCTTTTGCCCCTTTATACACAGAAGCAATAAAGGAATCCAAAGTTGAGGAGCCCCGGAAACGAGAAGCCGTGTCCATGATGCTGACCAAGTACGCGGCCTACAACACCTTCCACCACTGCGAGCAGTGCCACCAGTACATGGACTTCACCTCTGCCTCCCAGGTGCAGCCCCTTTGCCCTTGCCTGTTACCCAATGTGGATCTTGTATGTAAGAGAGGAAAAGTCCCAGTTTCAAGCCCTAGACAGAGGATGGCTTATATATGAGATGGAGCCACTCATTTGTAAGCAAAATGCTTGAAGCTAATTGATTAAGATGATTTGGGGTTTATTAATAAAGGATTATGGGTGGGGGAGGGTGGGTGAAAGAAACTGAGTTTGTGTCTTAAGTCACTTCATCAAAATGGTTACATGTGTCATGTTTAGATTAGAAAGTAGCTGAGGTGAGCTATCTGTGATCCTGAAAAAGCTAGATATTACAGTATGTTTGGCAAAAGGGTCTTTTCCCTCCTTTGGGTTGTTGTTGAAAATGGTGCTATTATCTACAAATTTGTAGGGGGCGCCCTTTGAGCTGTGAACAAGTCTTGATTTGCAGAGACCTAGTCTCACTCTTATACCAGCGAGTGATGGTTTTGACCATAGGCATACAGAGGAGTCAGTGTTTGCTTTTTTATTTGGAGAGAACTGAGAGGTAGGAACACAGAAGGTGAGCAAATACCCCGTAGCATTTAGCTTCTTTTTTTTTTTTTTTTGCGGTACGTGGGCCTCTCACTGTTGCAGCCTCTCTCGTCGTGGAGCACAGGCTCCGGACGCGCAGGCTCAGCAGCCATGGCTCACGGGCCCAGCTGCTCCGTGGCATGTGGGATCTTCCCGGATCGGGGCACAAACCCATGTCCCCTGCATCGGCAGGCGGACTCTCAACCACTGAGCCACTAGGGAAGCCCTTGGCTTCTTATTGGCCAGAGCGTCTTTAAGCACAAAAGATGGGAAAGGCAACCAATGATGGTCATATCCAGCGCCTGTTTGGGGGGATAAGCTTTCCCCTACTTTACCTTCTTGACTTCTATATTATTTGGCTCTGAACACCTAGAACAACTCTTCCTCCCTATAGGATGTGCTGAGTGGATGCCCTCCAGACTTGCTTCTGCTCTTGAGGACCAGGTCTTCACTCTTTCCCCACAGGGTACTAGGAGGGATATACTGATCATTCTGCTCTTCTGGTACAAGTTACCTTTCATACCCCGTTTGTTTTCTTGTGTTATTGAAAACTTTTGGTGGGATAGTTTGAAATCAGCTCACATAATGCTTTATAGAATATAGAGGATTCAAGTCCCCTGATCTATAAATCATCGGTTTTTAGAACATTTATTAAAAACCCTCTATTTAAATAATTTGTGTGATTACAGTACTCACTAAGTAGTCAATTCCAATACTTGTGAAGCAGAATGAAGGAGAATTTAAGGGAAGAATTACAATATTATTTCTCTATGAATGTAATATTTAAAACTCTTGGGAAAACTACCTGGATTCTAGTGGCTGCTGAAAAGTGATGATATCTTTTCATTAAGCCAAGTATTGTCTGCACTGTAAAGACCTTTATTTAGTCATTCACCGGGATGGGTTACTGAGAGTGTGTGAACTTATCAGCAATTTAAAAAGTAGGTTTATATTTGGCTTGGATGAGTCAGAGGTCTCTCCTGGAAGCCAGAGTTCTAGGCTAAATGACTTCAGATATCTTCAGCTTCCACTGTAGCCAGGAAAGATGGGGTCACAGAGGCATTTTAATAGTTTACTTAGAAAAATGATATTCATTTGACCTGACCCACACAGAAGCGTTTACTCCCATCACTGGGCACCTTTGGGAATGTTTACGTGGCAGGACACCCCCTCGATATACTGGACCTCCGTAGGACTGAGCAGCAGTGGTTCTAAGAAGGAGAGAAATGCAGATAGTTTCCAGCAACAGGTATTTCTCCACACACGGAGAGGCTGTGTAGGGGCGAGATGCTTGGCTCTCTGGTCAGCGGCAGCCCCTAAAAGATGAGGCGTCTGCCTTTCCAGCCCTCTCGACACTGCACGCACAGCAGGTCTGGTGGCAGGCAGAAGTTCAGGTTAGTTTGCCTCTCTCAGTAACAGCCTTAACGAGTGGCCTGGAGGTTTGCAAACCGTGAGTTTACATTCCCTCCCATTCTTCTCTGCAAACGCAGATGTCCGACTCCACCCTTCACGCCTTCACGTTCTCTTCCTCTATGCTGGGAGAAGAGGTGCAGCTCTATTTCATCATTCCCAAATCCAAAGAGAGTCATTTCATCTTCAGCAAGCAGGGCAAACACCTGGAGAGCATGCGGCTGCCCCTGGTTTCAGACAAGGTGGGTGACAGCGTCTGGACACAAGGACTGACAGGCCTCAGGTATTAGATTAGGTTCTCTAAGCTTCTGATATCTAAGGGTTCTAATTTCTCTTTTTGGTCTCTGGTCCTTTCTTTCCCTTTTTCTCTTTCAGCAGAATTTGAATGTGGTCAAGAGCCCTATTTTCACTCCTTCCAGTGGTCGCCACGAGCACGGACTCCTAAACCTCTTTCACGCCATGGAGGGCATCAGCCACCTGCACCTACTGGTGGTTAAGGAATATGAGATGCCGCTGTACCGCAAGTACTGGCCCAACCACATCATGCTGGTGCTTCCTGGCATGTTCAATAATGCAGGCGTGGGTAAGGGGGCCCCCAGATGGGGGGAAGGGCTGGAAAGATAAACTAAGCTCCATTCCCCAGGCATGAACTTTCAGAGGTTCCCCTGCCCCTGGATAGTGTCTTGCCCTGCAGACCAAAGGACTTTTCATTCCTCTTTAAATGAGTTTTCATTTCTCTTGATCTGCAGTTTTGCAGAATTTTTAACTTTTGAGGACTAGTAACCAAAGAAGTCACTGGTACGTTGAGCACCCTGGGAAGGATTGGGACTCTTCCCAGTATAGGCCGCAGATGTTCCTTGCTGCAGGCTGGCAGCAGGAACATCACAGTGAGGAGGAGAGTCTGAGGAGGGGAGTTAGTAGTTCACAGTCCGGTCTGGAGGGATCTCTGAGGGGCATCACTAATCTTAAAGGCACACAGCAAGTTCTTGGGGGCTCTGTGCAGCTGGGGAATGGAAGCATCATCACTGCCTACGGCAGTTATCTTAAAAGTGCCTGGAAGAAGTCTTTCCTGCTTTTCCCCAAGCAGTTTAAGAGCAATTGGCTGATTTCTCAGAGGCGGCACCTGGTTGTTGAGTGTATTGACAGAGCCAGGGAGGAACTGGAGAGAGCGGTCTAGAGCTCCTTCATTTCCCTCCTGAAGGCAGGAAACCTCCACATGGACCCAGTGTTCTAGAGCTCTAGTGTCTGGTAACTCCCTGCATCTAACTCACTTCCCACTGGCTTCTGTGGGTATCTCAGTGCAGAGTCTCAGAGGGCTGAGGATCAAGAGCTTTAGAGGAAGAACATCCAGCCCAGAGCTGGAGTGAACACAGAAGAGACCCGAGTAGTGCCCTGGATCCACACAGGCCTTCTCTCCAGGTCTCTCTCTCCCTTTCTTCTTAGGTTTCTTCCTTTCTTGTTCTCCATTCCATTCCTTTTCATGTCCTTAAACTTTAGCCTTAATATGGGATTAAAATATTTTCCCAAACTGGTTTGTTTTGAATGCAATTTCCCATGTTTATCACAATATCAGATGACTTAGGACTTTCATATATTTCTGGTCCTTTATCCTCCCCCAAACAATATATCTCCAAACTATCTAAAATCTTTTTCTATATGCATATGACCCTCAAACTATACCTTTCTGTGCCTAACTGACCTTTAGGAGAAAAAGTTCCCTCATCCCAGATCTGACTGAATTTGTTTAGTACCAGTTTTGCCATTTTTGTAATAATCTGGGCAGAGAAACCAACATACATGCAAATAAAATAAACACAATTTTTTTTTACTGTGGTAAAAAAACCACAAAATTTATCTTAGCCATTTTTAAGTGTATGGTTCAGTAGTGTTCAGTATATTCACATTGTTATGCAACCAATCTCCAGAACTCTCTTCATCTTGCAAAGCTGAAACTCAGTACCATTCAAGGCTAACTCCCCGTTTTTGTTATCCATTCACCCACTGAGGGACCCTTAGTCTGCTCCTCACCTTTTGATTGTTGTGAATAATGCTACTATGAACATGAACACAAATCTCTTCAAAACCCTGCTTTCAATTCTTTTGGGTATAAACCCCAAAGTAGTATTGCTTAATCACGTGGTAATGCCGTTTTTTTTTTTTTTGGAATTGGCATGTTGTTTTTCATAATGTCTGTACCATTTTACATTCCTACCAACAATGCAAAATGGTTCCAGTTTTAACACCTTTGCCAACACTTGCTTTTTCTGGGAATTTTTGATGTTGTTGTTCGTAGGCATCCTAATGGGTGAGATGGTATCTTATTGTGATTTGATTTGCATTTTCCTAATGATTAGTGATGTTGATCATCTTTTCATTTGCTTGTTGGCTATTGGTATATCTTCTTTGGAGAATCTATTTTTTAGTAAAGTTTTTATTGTTGTTGACTTGTAGGAGTTCTGTATATATTCTAGATATTAACCCGTTATCAGATAAGGTTTGTAAATATTTTCTCCCATTCCATAGGTTGCCTTTTCACTGTTGATTGCATTCTTTGTGCAGAAGTCTTAAATTTTTATGTAGTCCAGCTTTTTTCTCGTTGCTTATGCTTTTGGTATCATATCCAAGAAATCACTGCCAAAACCAACATCCTCAAGCTTTCCCCCATGTTTTCTTCTAAGAGTTTTATAGTTTTAGTTCTTTGATCCATTTTGATTTTTTTATATAATATAAGCGTCCAACTTCATTCTTTTGCATGTGGATATCCAGTTTTCCCAACACTGTTTGTTGAAGAAAGTATCCTTTATCCATTGAATGGTCTTGGCATTCTTGTCAAAAATAATTTGACCATATATACAAGTGTATGTTTCTGGGCTCTATATTCTTATTCCATTGGTCTATGTGCCACTACTACACTGTTTTGATTACTGTAGTTTTGCAATCAGTCAAGTGTGAGACCTCCAACTTTGTTCTTTTCTCAAGATTGTTTTGGCCATTCAGAGCCCCTTGAGATTCCATGTGAATTTAAAGTTGGATTTTTCTATTTCTGGGAAAAAAAAAACCCTGATATTTTGACAGGGATTGTATTAAATATGTGGATTGCTTTGTGTGATATTGACGTCTTAATATTACATTTTGCAGTCCATGAACATGGGATGTCTTCCCATTTATTTGTCTTTATTTCAGCAGTGTTTTGTACTTTTTAGTGTACAAGTCTTTTGCCTCCTTGGCTTAACATTTATTCCCAAGTATTGTACTTCTTTTTTTTTCGTTTTGTTTTTTTTTTGCGGTACGCGGGCCTCTCACTGTTGTGGCCTCTCCCGTTGTGGAGCATAGGCCCTGGACGCACAGGCTCAGTGGCCATGGCTCACGGGCCCAGCCGTTCTGCAGCATGTGGGATCTTCCCGGACCGGGGCACGAACCTGTGTCCCCTGCATCGGCAGGCAGACTCTCAACCACTGCGCCACCAGGGAAGCCCTGTATTTTCTTTTGATGCTATTGAAAATGGAACTTTTCTTAATTTCCCTTTTAGATTGTTTGTTGTTAGTATATAGAAACACAACTGATTTGTGTGTATTGTTTTTGTGTTTGCAACTTCGCTGAATTCATTTATTCTAAGTATGCATGTTACCTTTAGGGTTTTCTACATATAGGATCATGTCTGCAAAGAGATAATTTTACTTTCCAACTTGGGTGACTTTCATTTTCTTGTGTAATTGCTCTGGCTAGGATTTCCAGTACTATGTTAAATAGAAGTGATAAAGGTGGGCATCCTTGTCCTATTCTTGATCTTAAAGGAAAAGTTTTCAGTCTTTGAGCGTTGAGTATGTTAGCTGTGGGCTTTTCATATATGGTCCTTATGTTGAGAGTGCAAACTGTTATACACAGTGCTATTGAAAGGTAGATTTTCCTAAATCCTAGTATTACCCTTGACCTATTCAAACTGTTTTCCTGGCTCCTTCATAGACTTAATGGGTTTTTTTAGCCTCTTGATTTCATTATCATCTACATTGTGTTTCATTTTAGGGTGGCCCACTCATAAAACCTGGCTAATTCCTGATGATCATCATCTTAATAATCGTTAACACTCACTGAGTACTTACCAAGTGCTAGGCACTGTCCTGAGCACCAAACAGCAATCCTATGAAGTAGACATTATCATCGCCTTCTTACAGGTGGGGAAGCCTAGGCACAGGGGAGTTAACTTGTTCACTGTCACACAGCTAGAAAGCAGTGGAATCAGAATTCAAACTGAAGCAGCTTGGCTCCAGTCTTGTCTCTTACTTACTGTACCACATGCCTCTTACAAAAAAGCAGACCTAGGGAAAGGATACCAGTTTCCAGAGTCTTCTTCAAAGACACTGCTGCCAGTTTCCTAAAGGTACCTAAAGCAGGGGACACATTAGTGTAAGTGGCATACCCACTACTGCAGCCCTGGTGGCTCCCTAGTGCAGGACATGCAAGTGGCGGCTGCTGAGAATCTAATCATGGCTCTAAGAAACCAGTAGTAAGTATCTCCTCTATGTGGTATCATTTGTCCTATCAGGGAAGCTGGATTCTTGTAGTACTCCTTGAAGTGTAGTTCATGAATCACCTGCAAAGACATCTCTGGTTTCTGGCCCCTCATCAGACTTACTAGAGTGAACCTCTGGTGGTGGGTTCTAGGAATCTGCATTTTAAACAGACTTCCTGGGTGATTCTTATCTACACTGATGATTGAGAGCCACTGCTCTGAACATTTGGTTGACCCCCATCCATGTGCATGGTCACCACGTGAACACGCATGCTTACGGAGAGCATGTGAGCCGTGTGCAGGGCCTCAGCCAAGCCTGAGCGAAGGATGTACAAGCCTTGGTTGTGTTGCCTTTCAGGTGCTGCCAGGTTTCTTATTAAGGAGCTGTCATATCACAACCTGGAGCTGGAGAGGAACCGCCTGGAAGAGCTGGGAGTTAAACGCCAGTGTGTCTGGCCTTTCATCGTTGTAATGGATGACTCGTGTGTCCTATGGAACATTCACAGTGTTCAGGAGCAGAGCAGGTAGTGGTGCTTCCTACGCAGTTCTAGGAGTGTGACACAGTGTCATTGAGAAGACACTCTCCTTGGCTGTCATTGCACAGGGAAGTAAATAAGAGAGGTACAGCTTTCCAGAGCAAAACAATCATCTGTGAGACTACTCTCACTAGCACATTTTGTGGTGGCTTAGGAATTTTTAAATTTAGACACTCAGCCTGCCATTAAATTCCTGGACCATTTGTGCATCACAGCTCAGGTTTGCTATAAAAGTCTGTTGAAAGACACTATGGTTTATTTAGAAAGACCACTGGCTTCTGAATCAGGAGACCTGCTTTTTAGCCCCAGCTCTGCTTCCTAACTGTCTGGATGAAAAGGGAAAGTTACTTCACCTCTGTCTCAATTCTATCACATAAAAAATTACGGCTGGGCCCAAATCAGTGGTTCTCCTCCTGGGGCAGAGGTGACAGGAATCCATGGGGACCATGAAATGCTAAGCCTGGAGAAGTCCTATGCAGTAAATGGCCCCGAATGTTCACAGCCCCAGTGAAACACTGTGCCAGATGGTCTCTAGACCCTTCCAGCTCAGGCATTACGGTTTTGTGCCCTTGTTTCCCCTGTGGATTTGAAGCCCGTGAAGTTTTCAAATATTCCTTTATTATTCCGTAATTACCAGAACTGGGAAGTATACTTGTGTGCTTCTAATCTCTGGCTACCTCTCTTTGGTGACTCCCTGTTCATTACTCACTTTGAAATGGGCTGGATTTCACTCTCTGCCTTTAAGTGATCAGCCCGGCCCCCAGAAGGCAGCTTCCCTAGGTTAGCAGTGACAGGCAGCATGAAAACCGGGCTTGACATCCTTCTCCATTCCAGACTAATATAAAGTCAATCAGCTAATTGTATCCTTCAGGTATTAATACTGTACAGTGCGGTTAGCTCTTCATAAGTGACCCTCTCTTCAGTAATAGTGGTATCTTATGTAAACTAACTCTACATTTCATAGCCAGCCCATGGAAACAGGAGTTTCCAGTAAGAATGTGTCCTTGAAGAGTGTCTTGCAGCATATTGAAGCAACACCGAAAATCATCCACTACGCAATCCTGGGCATACAGAAATGGAGCAGCAAGCTGACTTCTCAGAGCCTGAAGGCCCCGTTCTCTAGATGCCACGTGCACGACTTCATTCTCCTCAACATAGACTTGACTCAGAATGTGCAGTATGACTTCAACAGGTAAGTCAGGCCTTCTGGATGTATGTGATCCCGGCATTTACTGATTGTTTCTGCCCAGGTCTAGCCTCAGCCATGTTTTTATTCCTGTCTCTGTCTTTGAGAAACTGAGACTCTCTTTATATGGACAGAGAAAGGGGGATCATAAGCCCCAAAGTGCCCCTTCATCAGCCTTCAAACTGACCCAGACCCTTAATGATAGGTGCTGCAACATGAAATGCTTAGAGAACATATTTTGGCCATCTTATTATTCAGTAAAAACTGAAACAGGGCCAAAACTTTTTATCAACAGAAATCGGTGTGTGGACCCGTAAACCTATTCAAGATTAACCTTTCATTTACCCTCAGAACTCAGAAGGTAATCTCTTCCCCAGATGTTAGCAAGACCCTGAGATCTGGCTCCTGTAGGGAAAAGCCAGCTAGCCCTGGCCTTGCCTCCTGAACAAATTATGCCCACATCTTGGACAATCTGAAATGGCCAAGGAAGAATGTCAGAGGCCATAGAGTCCCTCTTATGTCAACCCCCAACCCTGTAGCTATTAGAATGTTCTGTAGCTATTTCACTTCTGTGTTTTAAATCTGGCAGATGCTTTATCCTGTTTGCAGCCAGGATTTTAAAACCGGGAGCAGCTCTGCAGTCCGGTCCCACAAGAGTATACAGAATGTGCGCTCGTATTTCAGTTCAGGAATGCAAGGCGCTGTGGAATGTCTGGGAACAGTCACCTCACTTCCTCCTTCCTTAGTGGCTGTTAATGCCCAAATCAAAAGGTTCACAGGCCAGTGTCAAGAGAGCCAGCTCCTTGAGGGGGAAAGGTTGATTTTGTTTGAGGCTGTCTCCCAATACCTGCCACACATTTCTCTGTGTTTAACTGTCATAGTTGAGATGTGACAGGTAGTCAAGGAAACCTATCGTTGTGATTATAATTTAGGTATTTCTGTGAAGACGTTGACTTTAACCTG